TCTGCTGCCGGCGACAGCCCCGTGCAGCAGCCGCGGGTCCGCCGGGCAGGGGGATGCATGGAGACCGGCGGGGCGATACCGCGCCGCCGCTCACGGGCGGAGACGTCTTGGTCAAACACAGCTTTTCCGTGCCGCCGTTTAGCGCGGAAAGTGCTTTGAATAATAATAATAACAATAACAATAACAATAACAATAATAATAATAATAATAATAATACATACCAAGCTAGGGAGCTTATTCTAAATTTTTATCCAGTACATGAGTTTTTCAGTGGTTCACAGGTGTGCGCACACAGTAGAAAGGCAAATCCTGTTCCTCTGGTCTCTCAGAGAACACCGCACACGCGGTACATTCGCTCTCAGTACTCGGAAGTTTTCATGCTGCTTTTTAACTAAGGTATCTTCCTTCCTTCAGGGTCACCGAGGAACATTTCTTTAAGAGTGAAAGTGCTTTGGTTTCAGTTCTGAGTTTTTGAGTGATGCTTGTAAATCGGCCCAAAATGCACTGTGATATAATTTGAGCGTTCAACGACAAGATTATTTTTTAAAAAGCGAAAGTTGTCGTGCTGAAGTTGTAATTGTGTAACGACTTTGCATGAAGTAAGGTTATGAAACAGTATCAAGCATTGAGTCAGAGCAGCTCAGTGAAAGAGACTGTAGTAAGTACAGCTTGGGAGAAGAAAAATATGTCACAATAGCAGGTAATTATGTTGACTTTATTTTGGCGAATTTGAAAGGACTTGATCTCACTTTTCTATCCTCTGTGCTATTTTGTAAGATGATTTCTTCCATTTGTGCCAGCCTTCAGGTAAAATAACCATAAATGCGTTGCTCAAGTTAGCTGAAATATATGGGCAGTAACATAGGAGATATAAAACATATATGTGACCATATCCCAGCCCATGGCTGCCTCTACCTGTAACATAAGTGTCAGTGAGAATAGATTGAGCAGTAAATGGCAAATTCTCCCAGCAAAGATTTTGCTTCAGTATGCATTTCAGTTCCTGTGAATAATCATATGAAATCATAGATTTGTTTGCACAGCTTGTGCTCTGCCACAAAATAAGTGCAACCTGGGGAGTGACATTTTTTGTTTCCATCTGTACACCTTGCATCACAGTCTTCAATAAATACCGTAATTTTTTAAAAATTCTAAATACATATTATAAACATATATTATACACTTATTAGATATTTATATTCTATTTATATTCTATACCATTTCTTGTTTGAAGTATCTCTATTATTTGAGATTAGATAGCAAAGATAAGCCTGATTTGTTTTTTTTTTTCTTTTGTGGTAGTTGTATTCTTTGTCATAGACTGTGATATAAATTTTATTTCAGTGTTGCAGTTTCCCAGGAATTAAAACCATAACACACATAAATAGTTTATCAATATAAATTATGTTATCTTTAATTTTTCAGACATCTATCTTAGTAAGCCTTCCTTCTGGGGAAAATTTACATGCTGCCTCTCAGACCTGGGCAGAGCCTTATTTGCCCTTAAAAAATGTCTGGTAAAGGATGAGAGGGAGATTATGTGTCTTGGGAACCCCCTTCCATGGTATGGTCCCAGCTTTGTCAGTCCATCTCCAAACACTGGGCACTGGGAACCGCAGGGCTGCCAGGGTGATTTAGCTCTGCAGGGAGATTTTCCTTTGTGTTTTTAATGTGATTTTAAAGCCCCATGTGACTGGGTAGTCAGCTCCAAGCTACACAAGAATGGAACTAGTCAGAAGTTTTATCAGCACAGGGGTATAAGAAAATGGGATGAAAGCAGTTCTCCTTTCCGACCTTCCTTTTTCCTGCTGACAGAGTGCCCCAAGGAAGGAAAGGCACCTGTCTTTCAGAGACCTTCTCAAGGCAAAGAAGTTTTAGTTCATTTTTCATCAGGCTGATGCAACCCAGCTATCTGTCATGATATATCTAATCCCACTTACAGTGCACCCCATCCCTTTATTTGGGTGCACAGTGTTTTTTCTGGAAGGAGGACAAAGAAAGCTTCTGTTAGTTTTTTCTTCATGTTATGTCATTGTAGAAAAACAACAGAGAGAAGCCCATTAGGCAGCAAGTTTAACTATTGGGGGCTTTTTTCCCCCCTTTATTTCTCCTTTTACTTTTTGAAGCTGGAACCAACTTTGGGTAAGTCAGATGTTTTGAATACCTAGAATAATTATTCTAACATGTATGTAAAGCAAAGTGGCCTAGTGCAGCCCTCACTGCACTGCTGAAACTGCCTGAAGTCACACCTAGGGATAAAAAGAAAAGGGACAGCATGATGAGGAATATCTTGCAGGGCAGAGATAAGAAGTAGAAAAAGAAGTAAACAAGTTAAGTGTGTGTGAGAAGAAATTATTTCCAACCTTGGTGGTTCTTAGAGGCAGATATCTGCTGGGTACGCTGCAGATATCATTCACAGACATCTAGCATTCCTCAGTATGAAAACGAGGGTGCAAGAATATTGTGCAACTCACCCTGGAGCTTGGGAAAGCAGTTATTACTTCTAGGTTGAGTAATACTGCTGCAACCAGTGGGGCTGTTTTACCAAGGCTGTGGTGTGTAAGTTCTCACCGATTCATTTCAGATCATCAGCACTGAAAGGAAGGCAGGGCTGATGAACCGTTGTGCTTACATTACTTTTAGAAAATGTACAGAGTGTTCTGTAAACATTGTACAGCTCTTGTACTGCACAGGTAAACAAAGACTGCAGCACTGGCTAACGCAGAGACTCTCCAGTGCATCCTTGCATTTTACTTATTCTCTTGCTAAAGACCTACATCAGGTAACCAGAGACAGACAGATGTGGCTTCTTCCATGTTGTTTTCTGAGTTACCTATATTTTTTATGGAAAGTTGATATTTCTTGGGAATGAAAACACAGGAACTCCCACTGCTGATGGACATCTGTGGTCTTGCTGCCAGCATGTCTTGCTGCATGGTTTTGTCCCTCCTTCTCCTTGTAAGACAGAGTATTTTGCCGTGCTTGGGAAGTCCTGAGAGATACTACTGGAAAATACAGCACATAATTAATTAGTAGTAATAGTAGTTAAAAGACTGAGGCACCAACATTCAATTCCAGGCAGTATGTTCAATCTGTTAATTTCTATTTCCTCCCCTTTGCTGTGTCTTCACTTCTCTCGTATCTTTGCTTTCCCTGTTTTGTGCTCTCCCTGTTTCTGTCTTCTCCCTGTTTGCTTGCCTAGTTTTCTTTCTCTTAAGAATTATTTCAGTGTTCTTCCCCCAACATGCATGGGTACATCACTTACTCACTAATGACTGCCACAGAGCAGTATTGTTTCAATTTTATAGTATTTAGCACTTTTGACTTACAGAACACTTTCAGATTTTGTTCTCTGGGAACAGAACCCTGACAAAATCCAGTTGCTGAACGCTGCAAGGAAACCACCTTTATATTGTTAGCATCCAAATAAAGCATTAGGCCTTCTGGGTTCTTGCTTATCACTTTTGAAAAAATAGTATTTGGCAGCCACGCTGGAGTTGCATGTATCACAGCATGTGTAGAGAGGTGAGCCTGGCCTCCCTGTAGGCAAAGCAAAAGGGTTAAAAAGTGAGACCTTACTAACTTTCAATTTCTAACTTAACCTTTGGGAATTACTCATCTGAAGGCAGCCAAAGAGAATCATTGTGCTTGAAGCTCTTGTTCACCTTGTTGTTGCTTCACATCCCAGTAAAAGCAGAGCCTTTCATGCTGTCGGTGGGTATGACAAGTAGTGCACACAGCAGCTGACAGCCTGCTTCCTTGGGAAATAACAGCACAGCTCTAAGTGCAGAACTGGGGAACTCCTCCGGTCCACTTAAGATGCTTCCTCGTAAGTAGAATCCACTAGGCAGCAATGAGCCCTGCAGATTTTTCCTCCTTCCCTAACTGATCCTATCACAGCAGAGTATCACATTGTCCTCCTTCTCCTTCTCCTCAGCCTCAGTTCTGAATTCTTCCCTCTGCTTTTTTTTTTTTTCACCCATTTTTGCTGTTTTTGACCTTGACTCGTATCTCTGGTGGTTTTTCCTGCTGCCTTTTTTGTGTATATTTCTATTCATTGCCTACTTCCCCCAGGCCCTCAGCCCAGGCCTAGTGCCCTTTGTTGTTTACCCCATCAACTTTTCTCATCCTGTGTGCCTTACCAGTCCCTCTATGGTCAGTTTGCCTTCAAAACTCTACTCTGCTTCTATCACCAGGATTTCTCTCAATCCTATGCAGACTGCATTGTGGTCCCAGCCACTGAAATCTCACATTTAATCTGTGTGGGCAGAGCCCTGAGTGCAGGGACAAAAACCATAATGCAAGAACTCCCTTGCTACTCAAGCTTACCCTGATCTCCAAACAGAAATTCACTGCATCAGCTGTGACACTGCAACCTCATCTGTGCCATTTCCTATCAGTTAAAACACATCTATCACAAGTAGGATTTCCTCTTCCCCACTCCCTACCTCCTCATCCCAGCAACCATGACTACAGCAATAGAAGCTTTGAAATTCAGGGAAAAACAACAGCCAGGACAGTATCAATATGGCACTTTTTTCTGACAAGCATCTGAAATGCTCATTGATCTAAAACCTTATTTTCTCTCCTGGGCTTTCTGCAGTTGCTCTTTCCCCACTGCTGCAATCTCTCTTTATCTCTGCAGACCAGATGAACAGGAATTGGGTGTATTTGCCTACTGTATATTTGAAAAAATATCTTTCAGTTCTGCCCTTTTTTTTAATTGTAGCTCTAATATTTACAATTCAGTAAACTAAACAGAGCTCTTCTGTAGCATCTGGCTTTTGACCAGAAATCTGAAGCTTTTTCCTCTTTCCTTGCTTCCTGGTTTTCCTGCTGCCTGTACCCTAACTAAAGCAGCATGGTCTAGCAGAGCAAGGCCCTTAGCCCTACTTCTGCAGGCAAATTTAATGGGCTTGGCAGCTACAATTGCTGCAACTGATTGAATGCTTCATGAAGGAGCCAAAGGTGTAATCCCCATGTATCCAGATTGCCTTCCTTGTTTAGCAAAACATTGTTTAAGTACTTACCTTCTTATTGTCTTCCCTGGTGTTTGTTTTCCAATGCACTTTCTCAAGTGTCTGCTACTGATTCACATCCTTCTGGCTCCCACTGAGCATCCTGCAGACAGCATCTCACATTCTTCAGCTTGAGCACAGGAAAGCACATGCTCTTTTCTTCCTTGGTTCTGCCATTTCATTGAGGGAATAGGCTTTCGGGTGAATACAGAGATACACACTTCTTACTACATTTCTTTATTTTTCAAGTGCAGTTCACGTAACATTAAACTGCATTATTCCTCTGCCATACTTATGGGTGAGGATATTTCTGTAGGTAGAATTCAGTAATCTTCATGCACTCAGCTGAGAGGGAAGTAAAAGCCCTACTTCTCAGCAGCTCTCCCCTCCCCAGGGAAGGATTCCTTTACAGGTGTATTGGTACAAGATCCATTAATTTCAGCTGCAGTCTCTCTCAATGACAACACTAGGCTGTGGATCAGATCTGACATGCCTGTTTTTAAAATCTGTTAAAAATGGAAACTTCTGCAGTTGCATTTTGAAAGTTCTCTGCCAATCAGTGTTTGGTTTTGTTTCAGGTTCACTGTCTCAATGGAAGTGGTAACAGCCTGGGCCCCAGCAGTAGGTTTCATGCTCCTGCCACATGCAGGAGGATTTTTAGGAAGCAGTATAACCAAAAGAGAAATCCCAAATTGGTACGAAACTCTGCAGAAGCCATCCTGGTGTCCACCTAACTGGGTGTTTGCTCCTGTTTGGGGAACTCTCTATACATCTATGGGGTATGTTTTTCACATTGTATTAAGGCACTGACCTGATCTCAAAGTTGCTTTTGGTATGATGCTGTACCAGAGGATATGACTGTACTCCTGTCGCTGTATGTTTGTAAGAAACTATGTCCAGCTGCATGTTTAACAGGTAAAAACATGTTTTGGGAGTTGCGTGTGGGTTTGATAGGACATTTTGTATGCAGAAGTATCCATATCAAAATCAGGAGCTTGAAAATCTGCCATTAATTTGCTTTCCTCATTTATTCTGAGGGGAAGACCTGCCAAGCTGGAAACACTGGGGTAAGGCAGAACTGGGATTTCTTTTAAGTATGTCCTTCAGTAGTTTTAGGAAAATTTAAAAAAAGGGGTGGGGGAAATTAGGATAGAACTGTTCTAACAGAGCTGAATAGGGCAATGGATGAAAATGCTGGGTTGGCACTTCCATGGTCCCTCCCCACCAGTATTTTTTTTTCTTTCTCCTTATACATATACTTTTTAACTTATTTAAGTGCAATACCTGTGTATTTGAAGAGTTAACATTTGAATGAGATCATTACTGACCTGTGAATAAAAACATGCCTTTTATCAAGGAGAAAAGAGCTGGGTGGCTTTCCCAATTTCCTTCAAGTTGATTGCACAATGTATAACCCTGTGTCTAGATTTCTCACCACGAATCTGGGTAGCAAGTTAAATAGCTTAAAAAAGTCCAGATTGTGACAGCTTATCAATTATTTTGGTAATAGCAAAATCAGTGTAGCCTAAGGTGGATAGTCTTGGTTATGTATTATATATTCAGCATAGTGAAAAGCTCATACTTAGTAACAGCCTTCTCTAATCTGTCATGCACACACATTCCTTGAATGACCAAGACATTTAATTTCTTAAGAATCTCTTAAATATATGGAAAGCAACAAATAACTAAAAGCAAGATTTAATAAGCTTACCTGCCTTTCTTGACACTTAACTTCCTAGATTTGTGCACCATAATCTTGGTCTGAAGTTGAAGTTAGATGTGTGAACAAGTGCAAGTCCTCGCTGTGCTCTGGAAATCACTTAGGAAACTGAAGTTTCTAATGCTTACCCTGCCACAGCTTTCTTGTTTTCATTATTCTCTGCAATAAAACTGTCAAAATAGCAAAGCTGCATTGTTCAGTCCCTGTCAAAGAAACAAAGTGGCTACAGAGCTCCCCATACACAACTCTGCTTTGGGAACCCATTCAATGCCACTCATTTGATCCACTTCAAAAGTGGGTTTTAATTTTTTTTTTTTTTTTAATCTTTGAAATACCATGTTCCAGTATTAAAACAAAGTTCCTTTTGCATCTTAGAATTATTTCCATTTCAACATGGCATTCTTTTTTAAGACCAAAATGCAGTAGGTTTCTATGCACTTAAAAGTGAGAATTCAGGCATGACTGGAATTTTTCTCTCTCCATGTTGTTATCCAGAGCAGCTGATGAAGCTTGTGCTGTCAGTTACTTTGCCAAGATAGTAGGGCCTAGATATCTAAATCTTCTAAATTAATCCAGATCCTGGCACTGAAGTTATTTTATTGATCAAGAAGGTGTGATAGCTTTAAACAGTGTAGTGAATGACACTTCCCCTTTGCTTTCTGCAGATACGGCTCCTACCTGGTGTGGAAGGAATTGGGGGGCCTCAGTGAAAAGTCAGTGGTTCCTCTGGGTCTGTATGCAGGGAACCTGGCATTAAACTGGGCATGGACTCCAATATTTTTTGGAGCTCACAAAATGGGATGGGTAAGTGGAACCCTAAGTTTCCGAACCAAAGGCTCCTACTCTTACTAGCAAGGTATTAGCATGAAAGATTTGTGTCATAATCTTTTCTCCCTGAAAATGGCTCTGAATACAAAATATGGCTTGCAGAACTTTTAAAATATTCTCTTTAATGCATGCCAGCATCCACATGAGAGAATTTACAGTTCTAGACCACCCTTAAATTGATAGACTTCAAGCAGCTTTCTGCCAGCCTTTGGTAAGAGCTTTGTGTGATTAGAAGATGTAAACATTTATGCCTTATTGCAATTCCTAGGTCTCTCTGGCAAACAGCAGTGAGAAGCAGCTTATTACAACATTATTCAGGTGATCAACACCCCTTTTAGAAAAGACTCATTTTCTCCAGCTCTCTGAAGAGAAACAGCTCAATTATTCTCAAAAATAAGAATTGGTAATAAAAAATATAAAATATTTGTCTGGTTCTCTAGCTGTACATGCAATGCTGTAACAGGGAAAGACTGCCATCCATCACAGATTCATTCACAGTTCATCTCTTCAGGTGACATGAGCAAACTGGACAGGTTTGCTTGCTCCAAGTCACTTTGGGAAGTGTCTCGCTGTCCACTAAAGAGGGTATGAGAGAGACTTCATTTTCCCTCTCTGCTCCCTGCTGTAATGAATGCCCTTTCTTGTACTTGTATTGTTTTATGACTTGAAGTGGTTTGCAACTCAGCAGAAAGCTATCATCTTTTGCTGTTGGCTGATTTTTTGGGAAGGATTTAACTCCCAGAGGGATAGAACAGGTGCCAGAGCCAGGTGGAAAGAGCGCCACACAGGAAATGCAACAAGTAAAAATAACACTAACCACCTTTTGTGTTTCAGGGGTTGGTGACTCTCCTGCTTACAACTGGTACAGCAACAGCTACCACTGCTTCCTGGTATAACATCAACAAAACAGCAGCTTATTTGATGGTTCCTTATTTAGCTTGGCTAAGCTTGGCTTCTGCACTCAGTTATCAGATCTGGAAAGACAATCACAGCAAGAAACCTGAATAAGCAGTTTTCAGCCAAAACCATTTTTTTCCCCCAATTATTTTTTATATAAAGTTATGGCCTTATTTTATTTTTAGCTGAACTACTTCTACTATTACTTTGTTAACTACAAGTTGACAAAACAAATACAACTTTATTAGGCAAGCCACAATGGGGTGTATGTCTGACTGGGTTTTATAGCAAACTAAAAGAAAGTCTTGATTGAAAAGTAGTAAGTGCCATATACTGGTATTGTATGTTGCATAACAACAGCATTTTAACCATTGCCAGAAGAAAGCAGGAACTCAAACTTCCTTATGTTCAGAGGAAGAAATCCAGCCACACACTAACACAGTTTCCAGAAAGGTGACAGGCATGATTGTGGCCTGAATCTTTCATATATTTACCACTAGGCACAGTGCTTTTGTGCTATGATGTGTCCCACTACAGTCACCAGATATTTGTCTTCTGGCCATTGTTTTCCAGAAATGTTTAAGACAAGCTCTTTTTAATAATTTGTGCCTTCCGACTTTGAAGAACTGTACATGCATTCAGCTAAATGCATTAAACTACACATAACCTTGTTCCTTGCTGATATAGTTTTAAATTGTTTTGAGCAGAAGAACACTGAAGGCAGTAGGATGCTACAGCCTCAAAGACAGCCCCTTCATCACTTTTCCTCACTTTTGCAATGGCTAACACAAACCAGGAAATTCAGAGCACCTGTAAAGAAACTGTGAGAACCCAGTCACAACATTTCTTTAACCAAATTTAAGGAACCCAAACATCTGAGCAGAGGGCCAGCATGGTGTGAGCATCACTTCTGGTTGTGCAACCCTGGTCTCCCTTCTGTCCCACTTGCACAGCAGTTGGATTTTCCCAAGTTTATTTCTCCAGCCTATGCGCCAGTCAGTGGAACAAAGCAGATTCCTGCAGACTAGCCTGAAATAGCCTGAGATATTCCTTCATGTTCCTTATCATGAGGGATAACGTGCTACATGTTTGCAAAGTTTGAAGCAAGGTTTGGAACACTTACACAATTTTATAACTACTTTCCTCTCAAGCACATCCTAATTGCTGCAAACTAGCTTAAATAATTACTACCCGTACAATATGTATGTCATGCCAGACAGAATTTTTTGCAGCTTGCACATAAAATTGCTGAACTTCAGGCAAGTGACCCTGATTTGAGGAAAGATTAGGAATGATTAATTTCAAATGAGCACCCCACTGCTGTCACCCTGAAAACTCGGCTTCTGAGCTTGGTGACATGGTTTTCTAAAGACTTTATCAGAACAGTAACTGTAAACATAGATATCTGTACATTCTTTCTGTTACACGTTTTGTGATGGGCATCTCTCATGGCCAGTGCAGTGAGAAAGTGTTATCCTGACCATGCAATCCCTGGCTGTGGTCAGAAGCCTATAAATCTTGGGAGGAAAAATAAACTCTCTCTCTTCTTTTCACCACACCTTGACCTGTGTCCGCGTGATCTATTCATCTTCAGCGGCAACACACTGCCAAATACTCTCTCTTAGGCCCTAGACTTTGAAATCCAAAGACTGTTTGGACTTCTAGCAGAGCTTTCAAAATTCCTTTAATATCTTTCAGCTTATGCATTCCTGTGCTGTTCCAGACATTGCCTCCTGCTGACTTCCTCAAAAATCTGGTTTCTTTAAGGGGCAGGCCAAAGATGACAGCCAGCAGTACAAGTTCTTAAATGCAGCAGGGTTTGTTTCTATTATGTTAAATAGGAAAAATGGGAAGATCTGTAAAATCTTTTGTGGATGATACCCTGATCTGTGCATCAGAAAAGACTCACTTGGACATCACTGTTAAAAGAACCATTGAAGCCATAGAGAAAGCAGAATTCGAGATTTGTGAGGACAATGTGCAGTACACCAGCCCATTGACTTACTTCGGACTCCAGATTCGTGAGAAGACCATCGTACCCCATCAACTCACCATCTGAGATGACACAAAGACCTGAGAGACTTACACAGTTTATGTGGGTCCATCAACTGGATACATCCCCTGGTAGGGAATACAACAAAGGATTTCGCCCCCCTGTACCATCTCTGTGGCAGCGGAGACATGGATTCTCCACGCACTCTCACATCAGAAGCCTAAGATAGCATCACCAAAATCCAAGAAGCCTGGTCTTCATGCCAAGCCCATCACTTTGAGCCCAGCCTGCCTTTCCAGTTCGTCATTTTAGAAAAGGCCCCCTGTTTCTACAGGTTGAATGGGATCCTCAACTCAGAGACCCTTTACTGATATTTGAATGGATCATTACAAGCAATCAACCTATAAAAACTATTACCACCTTTCAAGAAATAATGGCACATCTAATTAGAAAGGTCAGAACCAGCCTCCGCTCTTTTGCAGGGTGTGAGTTTACATTAATATACTTGCCACTGACTACTGGGGATCTGGAGCATATGCTCCATCCAAGTGAAAGCCTCCAGTTCACCCTGGATAGCTATACAGGACAAATTTCCATCCACATGCCAAAGCATAGATTTTTTAATTGTGATTCACCCTTTAATCTGATCCCAAAATTAAACCAAAGTAGGACCCCTCCCAAAGCTCTAACAGTTTTTACAGATGGCTCAGGGTCATCCCACAAAGTCAGTAATGACTTGGAAGGATCCCAAGACCCAGAAACGGGAGTCTGATGTCCAAGTAGTGGAGGGATCTCCACAGATTGCTGAGCTAGCAGCCATCATCACAGCCTTCGAGAAATTCAGAGATGAACCCTTTAATCCACAGATTCAGCTTATGTTGCTGGCATAGCCATGAGGGCTGAACATGCTTTTCTCAAGGAGGTCTCAAATCCAAACCTATACCAATTGATTTCTGCATTAATTGGTTTAATCTCCCACAGAAAGCAACCTTACCATATTATGCATGTTAGGTCACGCACCGACCTGCCAGGTGCCATCACAGAAGGGAACAAGAAGGCAGATGTGTTCGTCATGTCGGCAGAGACTGCTAACATCCCTGACACCTTTGCCCAGGTGAAGCTGTCACATGCATTTTATCATCAAAATGTACCTGCCCTCATCAGAATGTTCAAGCTCTCAAAATATCAAGTGAAAGCTATTGTCGCAATGTGCCTAAACTGCCAAAATTGCCAGATACCATGTATGGGTATTGTGGTTAACCCCCAGGGCCTGAACAGCTGTCAATTGTGGCAGACTGACGTGACTCACTTCCCATCCTTTGGAAAGACAAAGGAGAGAGGAACAACACAAACCCCCCCTTTCACCTTAAAGCTAACAAACTTTGCTTATATTCTCTATCAGAAGCCCTATCCTTGTCCAAAGATGAAATTTATATACATTGATGCCGCCCTCACTGCTGCCTGGATGTTCCTTACTGAGCCACATGCCTTCAGCTGGGTTGTCCCACAGCCTAGCCATAATGTTTGGGTGACCTTAGCAAAGACACTAAAACAAGATAACTTGTGCCTGTCTGCTGCCTTATGCGAGGCAGACACTCTGGTTCAGGAGCAGCATGGTGGCCATGCCCAGGCCACTCGGTCCATTTGCACACATCAATGTGATGGATGGCAGAAATGGCGTTTATTGCTGAAGAATTTGACACTTTATAACCTAGGTTTACAGTGTTACTCCCATCTGCTTTCATCACAGCTAGGTGCTATTGGCTAATTACGGGGGTCATTACCATAACTAAGGAGGAGGGGGGTGGCCATCTTTCTGTTACATCCCGATATCTTCTGAGCGCTGGGCCCTAGCTTCCCACACTTGTCCATGGGCAGCCTAGACAACCCACTTTCCATATGTCTGGTAGGGATTCCCTTGGTATGAATGGCCCATCACTGACTCAGATCTCCTCTGCACCACAGGTAAGAGGCCCAATCCCCTAGACACTTGGGACGAGTGGACAAAGATTCTGCCACATGCTCCAGAGGAACCCCAAGAACTAGATTTGCTGGGGTACTCCAAAGCAACAGGCTGTGTCAAATTTTACTTTGGACAACCACATCACCATTGGCCAGAAATTGACCAGGCAAAAAACACATACAGAAAAGACATTATCACCAATTAACAAAGCCTATAATAACCTAAATTGGTGTAATTACACCAGTTGCATACTCTCTGTGTCCTCACTCTATCCTAAAGTGTTGCCCTGGGGAATGTTTCTTATCTGTGGTGACTGAGTATGGGCTGGGATCCCCTCGTGTCTCCAGGGGTGTCCCTGAAGCCTTGGCAAACTTTCTACCCTCACTCCAAATATCACATTATTACATGATTGGAAAGAAAAGAGAATTGACACACCAAAAGAGACCCTATTCAGAATCTGATGAAAATTGTGACAGCAAAATTTAAAACCGAAACACAGGAAAGCAAGTTGCGGTTTCCCTGATTCTCCCTTGGGTAGCTGCAGCTAAAGCCCTTGGTGAGCTAAATCACTTGGGGTGTTGGCTTAGCAAGCAGGTCAATGCAACATCTGCTGCCCTGAGAGATCTTTTAAGGGATGAGGAGACTACCAGACATGCATCCCTACAAAATCAAGCAGCAATTGACTTCCTACTACTTGCCCACGGACATGGCTGCCAGGACTTTGAGGGGGTGTGCTGCTTCAACCTCTCTTTGTGCTCAAAATTCATCCACACCAACATCCAGAAACTGAAGGAACAAGTAAAGGGCATAAAAATAGAAAACACAGACTGTCAATGAACTTTTCAGACAATGGGGATTAACAGGATGGGTTTAATCTTTAGTTAAGGGAATTTTGTGGATTTTTGTTCTGATCCTTACTGTGTTACTTATGTTCTCCTGTGTTGTATGTTGCTTTAGGAGCTGTTAAGAAGGCGTTTTTACTAAATACATTAAGGGGGAGCTGTGGAGGCAGGTCAGTCTGCCAAGGCTTTCCCTTGGAGGAATGTGCCTTGGGGGAGCTGTGACAAGCTTATCCCAACCCTCTCCTGGAGAGATACCCCTTAGATGGGACCATCCTCTCTTCTCATGGTGAGGTATCCCACCATGCCTTGATGACTGTATTGGTCCTTTGTAGCCCATTGGTTTTCCCCCCTGGTACAACCCTGGCCGTCCCCCATAAAAACCCCAGCTTCTGCCCAGTTCAGCAGGGAGCTGCCATCCCAATGCTCCTGTCTGTCTATCTCTGAGTTGGCACGGGATAACCTTGAAAGCAGAGCTGAAATCACTTGCAGCCACAGGCTGCCCTTTGCTGAGGTTACCTGGTGGCCAGGTATCACCAGAGACCTCCCTGTAAAGGCTCTCTTGTGGGACTGCTCTCTCTGGGAAAGTCATGGTGTCCTGGGTCAGATCAACGAACCTGGCCTGGCCACCACAGTCTATAGTCTCATTAACCACATAGTTTATTGCAGTGAAATACCCTATTAATATATTATTTCCCACCCACCAGAACAATTTAGATCTTTGTATAGGAGTAGATAAGTAAGGGACATACAAACCCCAATGTGATTCAGTAAATTATAGTTTTAAAGTTGACATATGGAACTTGTGCAATGTTTCCCAGCAAGCAATCAGGCTACCTGAAACACAAGTCCTACTCTGAGGTCTCAAATATTCAATAAACAAGCCACTTTGTCAACACACACCTATGTTTTACAGAAAGAACAAAGGAAGACTTGGACAGTGCAGACAAAGGGATTATCAATACAGTATATGGTATTTGCATCTTCTTCTGATATGGTATTTTTTTACCCTGGTGATCAGCATAGGAAAACAGTTGTATCAGCAGCTCATAGAACTGAAATATAAATCCTGCTGCTAAGTGTATCTGAGAAGGAAATTGATGGAGTCATGTCTCCTGTGGTTAGACAATGCGTGTCACATGGCAGTTGTCTGTTTCATCCAGAAAAAGGGTGCTGAAGACATCATTAAAAAAGGTAGGGTGGTATTTGCAGGCTCTGTCACAGTCAGGATTAAAGTTCACCTCCAGGATCTGAGGCTGCATAATTTTTTTTCCTGTCAAGGCAAACACAAACATTGCTGCTTAATACAAGCTCTACAGAGATCTTAAATCACGCCTTGTCTTTAATCCAGAAATTATAAAAAATTACTGGGAAAAGCATCTTTTGTGACCCAAACTGCTGAGCCTGTAGGGTGTTTTTGTTTCAGTGGGTTGGTTTTTACTGGAGGGACAGAAGTATGTTCTGCCATCATTATCCAGAGGACAATTATCCCACAGATCCTGCAACCACTGTGCTAATTCAGTGCCTCCTCTGGAATGAGAATTTGTGGCCACTCAATACAATCTTCCTGAATCAGCTGTTTTGCTTGTCAGTGTTAAACATCTTCAAGAAAACTCTTCTTCTCCTTTCACATTTCAATACAAACCTTGTTTTCTTAAACCTCCTAGGTATTTAGCAGTCCTGTTCTTTTAACTGCACCCACCCCCATCTGCCACTTCATGCCACTTCCTAAAGGACGTCAGGAAATTTAATTTTCTCTTATAACTTCATCAGTTCTGGATCCAATCCATTCTGTGCAGAGAAAAACCAAAGGATTTTATTTCATATCTGGTGTTGAGACTGTTAAGTGAGGGAAAAAACCTTCTGATGGATAAGCAAATCCTACTCTGCTTTGCACAGGAGCAATGAATCTCTTTGTCAACAGGCTGCCCACAGCTTTACAGCACTAACACTGGCATCACCCCTCATCTTCAAAAGGCCAGGGACCTGTGCAGCTCATGTTCTGCCAGGTATGTAATGAGAGGTTGGTTCATTTACTACAGTAGTTTTCCTCAAGCTAGTAATGTTTGTGAGCTCCTTTGCTTCTGCCATTCAGGACACCTCTGGGACACGTGAAAGAGCATCCAGTGTGTCTGTAGCAAACCACGTTCAACCTCTTGCTCCACCTCATCTAAGCAGTAAACGTTCCATCTTATACCTCCTGTTTCTCAATCATTTCCCTCCATGACAGCGACTCAATCTTTGTAGAATCAGTCCCTGCAGCAGTGGCCATGGGGCACTCACCCAACACACATCTGCAGGCAAACCTGGGCACAGGCAATCAACTTCTCCTGTGTCTCAGAGAACCCAGTACCAGAGGAAGAGAGTATGTTCAGCTCTGTTCAGTACTCCCTGGCAGCTCTCTTTGTGTTGATGCCTCTGCTACTTTTTTACCTCTACAAAAAACACATGCTTGGGTCAGGCACATTTACAGAACATTCCTGAACCTCCTAGTGAGAGAAATTATTCAGTCTGTTTGGCAGATTTTGCTACCATTCCTCCACAGCTGCCTGGAAGAAAGGCTTCAGGAAGTCACCCATTCTGTGGTACTAACATGAAGCAGCCCCACTCACATGTTCTTTCAGAGACTTGGCAACAGCTGAATGTCAGCCCTGAGGACATCAACAGCACTGGTGAATAGTGAATGTGGTCCCTTCCCTGCTGTAATAAATCACTGTGCACTGAAGACACTGCTCCAAGTCTGGAAGCCACAGACAGATGTCTCCAAGGTTTTCACAGAGAGTGACATGAAATTTCAGACATTTGTTTGGGGTTTTTGTGTGTGTGGTGGTTTGACTGGATTCTTTTGGTTCTCCCCCCCACCCCTCTGTTGTTTTGCTCTGTTTTTCTCCAAAGAGAGAACAACAGCAGCAAGGAAGCAAAGTGCAGCTGTTGGCAGTTGGCAGCTGCCCCATCACACCTGTTAAGCAGCATGGCAGATGCTATCCCAATAGGTTTGTAACTTCAGGTGTCAGTGGGAGGGACAGAGCACACAGTTCACACTGCTTGAGAAACAGTACAAGTTAAAAGAGAAGAAACAGACTTCTGAAAAGGTCCACAAGCATAAACAATTCAACGCTCAAATAACGGAGCTTCTCACCATCTCTGCTGGTGTCCCACTTAAGCATCAAGTCAATGGCATATATTGCTCTTGATGATGGATAATCGCAGATGCCAAGAGGGGCAGGTTTAGACGAAGCAACTTGGAACAAATCAGCAAATGCCTTAAAAATACTTGCCTAATAAAAGAAAAAGCCCTCTGAATGAGGAGTGAGGTTCCATAAAAGCAACACACATGTCTAATCACTTCATTCATGCAGCGTTTTAAAGGTTTGTATCAATTGTACTACATAACAGATGAAGATCTACACAGTGTTGGCTTCCAAATGTGCATTTAGACCTAATGCCAACACAGAGAAAGAACTCAGCACCTGGCAATATCCATGGACTTTTCTGGGGAGGCAATGAATACTATGGAAATCCTGAAAATAGTGCATTTTATATTAGAATTAATTCCCCTCTCAGGCATTATGCCAAGTATTGCACTTATGTGTAGAGGAGGGGGGAAAAAGAAACCTAGGAGAGTTCTGTGAAGACCAGCAGTACAACTGTGAAGTTCTGGCTTCTCTTCCTGCCTATTCAGTTGTATTCTAGTTTTCTTCTGTTCTGTTATGAAAAATCTTTTACCCATTTATACCCTGAAGAAGGGAGGGGGGACATGGAGATTTTAAGAATGTACTTCATAGGTATTTTGAAAAACAGTCAGATATCCAATCTGAAAGTGAAATAAACCAGGAAGAATGCACAGATGTGAGTTTAGCATTGAATTTATGCTGCAGTGAACCATTCCCTCTTTTTTCTGTACACTGTACTACTTTGGGTAACCTCCAGGATGTATTTTGACATCTCTCTTTTCACCCCTTGTAGCTTCTTCCAGACTATTTTAAACCCTGCCATATTGTGAGTATCATTAATTGGACACAAGGATCTAGTTAAAACAAATGTGAATTAATATATGGAAATCAAGTCACAGTTGGATAATTTATGCACTTTTGAATAATTTATGCACATATAAAGGCTCAGTTATCATTCACTCTGTTTCTTCTAGCTCCTAATAAATATGGAAAAAAGAAAGAATTCAGTTTTGTGCATGTTTCTGAACCAGCTCTTCACATTCAGCTTTTTCTTTCAAGCATGAATCATAGGAAAAATTAAAATCAATGAGAAGGGCCTCATCTGCCCTCCTGCACATTTTATGGAACTGTAGTATTTTGAGCTTCCTTTTTTCAATCAAAGATGTCCTGGTATCAGAGAACCATCTGTGTTCTTGTGAAAAGTCATCTGTGCAAGGAGCAGGGACAGGGCTCTGGCAAGGCTGCTAACACAGAGAAGCTGAGGCAGCAGCAGGAAACTCTGCACTTTAGAGTAGGAATAGCTGTACTGCTAAGTCCAACATAAAGAATTACCATAGTGTGAACATGAAATAAAATTCTCAAATTATAAAATACAATTTTCTAACAAGCAAGCATTTGAGGGCAAATTACACAAAATTCCGAAGTAAAGGTTAACATATGATCTCCTCTGTGAAACTTATACACATGAAGTATGTCTCCTGAGAGGAAAAAAAATCCTAACAACCCAAGACTTTTGGAAAAGCTGAGTAAAAAACCCCAAACAGATCATGAACATTTACATGAGAAAGATGAACTGCTGACTTACTTGTACCATTGTCCAAGGATATTCAGGATATTGTTTTTCAAACAGAGGAATAAAGTCTTCACAGTGCACCTAAAACAGTTTAGTAACATCAAAGGCTGTCTTGCTCGGGAATGACAAGAGAATGAAGATCAAATATATTTGCCATTCATACAAATGCACGTAGAGAACTAGGGAATTAAGACAGCTCTTGAATACCTTCCTTGTTCCAGGACTTCCTGTTATAAAAGATCAAACTAAGGCTTTGACAATGACAAGTGTTGTTTTATTATAATTCTGTTATTGTCTCTGTCTGTGTGTTTTATTCAGAATGTTTGTTTGTACTACCTTGGATAACCACAGATTATTAGGGGAAAGAGTCTAGAAAAGTATTTCCTTAGGACTTCAACATCCTGTTCAAATGGATGTGAAACAGACTATTTGCTAACAGCCACAAAGCAGGCACCAGAAGATTTTCTACCAACAGAAAGATGAGGAAGTGTTTTGGGCTGTTTGCTTACCTGTTTCAATGTCACACCAGGAGCATAATTCATGACAGTGAAATGCTTCTCATAATCATCCAGGTCATCAAGCGAAAATGCCCTAAGGAACAGAACAACTCCTCAGTTTCCAAGGTATGCAATTCCAGCATGTGCACACTGCGGGGGGAGGGGGGCACCTGTTGGAAAAGCGCAGCCAGAACACGTCGTAGCTGTAGAGCTGCAGGGGCCGGGCAGAGCGCAGCAGCACCACGTAGCGCACATCAAACTTCACCAGCCCCACGTCCTCACACTCAAACAGCACCGGCTCCTCGATGTATTTGCACACCACCTACAGCAAAGCACATGAAACACAGCTCAGGTGAGATGTGTTACTGCCCCTCCATGACTTAGGGAACCCCTGCTTGCATTTCAGCTTTTCCTCAGAAAATGTTACTTTTTGTCACACTCTAACTACAGGGTGTGGAAATAAGACCAGGATGTTCTCAATTTTAAAAAAGTACAGATTTCTAACTGGTGACCTTGTTCTTTTGCAACAATTGTGAGGCAATTCTGTGTGTATTTCTGCACCCCAGAAAATACACACAGTCCACACATCACCAACAAATGGCACTGAAGCGAGCTCCAGTGCTCACACACTGTAATGTACAGGTGGATGTTGCAGGGACACTGTAAAAAGCTCTGTGATTCATTTCTTGTTGACACAGGTGGTCCTTTGTGCCACTGAGCAGAGCAGTAACAATCAACCAGGGGACAGAAGCAATAATGTTCCCAAATTAATGATGAATACTAACTACAGCCAATGTGTTTGAGCCTGAGGACTGGCTTTACAGCAGCACCATGCTGGCATCCCTTATTGTCAGGGCAAGTTTTATTTTTTAAATAAGACAACATCAGGCTCTGAGTTCATCACTGCAACAACTGGAGTTGACCAATTTGCAACTGATTCTATTCTGAACTGTATGCTTATGGCCAGCATATGAATTTTGAAGAAAATTAATTTCCTTTGTATTTTCAGACATCTTTCGACAAAGCAGTTTTTTCAGCTCTGCCTTTTAAATCCTGTTCAAAGCCAGGCTCTCTCACCTTTGGGCTGCTTTCCCTGTGCCTGATGATACTGTTCAGGTTGTTTGTGATGTGCGTATCCAGGCTTCTGGCCAGGTTCCATGGTTTGCATATCCAGTGATTGTCTTCTCCTCTGGGGGAGAGAAATATCTCTAAGTATCCACCTCATTCATCTGTCTGAACATCCACTTGGCTTGATCCAGGTCTTCTCCTGGAAAAATACTTTATAAAGCTGTGGGCTACAGTGCAAGAATTAAGACTTTTGCTGACAGCTGGGAGGAGTAGGCATTAGGAATAAGGGAGAGAAAAAGCAATGTAACCCTTCACAATTTTTTTTTCCAGTTAGGGCCTATCATGATCTCACTGTTTATCTCCTTCTACTGCAACTGACTCCATCAAAAAGGGAAAACAACCCATCAACAGGACAGCATCACCATGAACATGCACAAGTCATGGTGTGGAATTGTTCTGCCAGGAGCCTGAGAACATTCTGGTGGGGTATTGGGCAATTTTCCAAGTTGGTTCCCTACTGACACCTCCAAATCATTCACATTAAATGACACCAGAACTCATCTCTTTGGGAAGAAACTACAGTGTCTCAAAAGTTCACACTACAGGTATGTAAAAACACACCACCATCGGCTCGCTTTCTAGCACATAGACACCTCCCAGGGTAAAATTCTTTGAGATATCCTTGAGAAAATCCAGCAATATGCTGGTCTTTCCATCTATTTTTCCAAGTCAGGACAGGGTGATGCTTGATGTTCTTTCCTCAACCTATTAAAGCATCATAAAGTGAGCTGAAGATAGCAGTTAACTTCTGTTTTGTTAGTTTGAAAATTCCTGCCACTCCTTCCCATTTTCTACACACACACACTGCATTCATTGTCAGTCTTTGATGTTGAAAAATAATTAAACCACCACACACTAGGAACATGTGCCAGGTGTGCTCTCTCCTGATCAATGCCAGTCCATAACAGACTATGTACAGCAAATAACAGCCAAATGAAACACCTGGCAGGAGTGTTATAATAATAAGCAATATTAATAATAAGCAAGCAATCATCAAAGAAGCAACCTTTCAACCAGAATACTCCATGCCAGACATAAGAGGTTATTCAGCAGTAGCCAATGATCTCTTTCTCTCCTACATGAAGTATAATTGTAGTTTCCACCCACTTCAAGACAGCTGCAGTGGCAGCAGTGTGGATTTAGAACCCTAAAGCTCCACAACTACTTCAGTCTAACACTGAAACAAAATTTTACTTTCACAACCTTACAGAACCCAAGTACTTTAAACATTTTCCTCTCTGGCTTAAGTGCAAGAAAACTGCTAATGTCCCCTCAAAAAAAATAAAATTCCACACTTGTGAACACATTTTGAGGCTTCGTGTATCTGTTGAACACAAGAGGCAAGATTCTGACTAGGCAAAGAGCACAGGACTTCAACTCTGTATTCAAATCACAGCAAAGTTTCTGGGTTTCAAACTGCACTGCTTAACTACTGTTACCTAAAATAAAAACCTAAAAGCCCCCACTTTTCAGGTAAAATTCACTTGAATGTAAATGCAGCAAGAGCTAACTCATGGTGGTGAAACAGCTGCAAAGACCAAACTGCAGGCTCCTGGTCTTTGAGGAAAGTGGGATCAAGACAGGACAAAACCTAAGGAAGAGGAAACACACGTCACCTTCTGTCACGCTGCTGGAAGTAGCTGATGAACTGAGGCAATTCTGTCTGGAGGTTAAAAGTCCGAGGCAACCACCTGGGCCCATCTGGTCCTCCAGCTCGTCTAGCAATGGATGCAAGGCAGTCTTTGACTGTCAGGAGGCTCTCACATGGGAACTGATTCACCATTACCTCAGGCCTCTCCTCACTTAGCTTCCTACAAAGTAAACAAGAGTTTGGTGAAGGGGGAAGGTTGTGGAGGCCTTTGGGAACAGTTTTTATAGAAAAAAAAAAAAAAAGAGGAAAAAATATTATCAGCGGAATAATGAATCCTATAATTAATTAACCTAAAATCTTTGAAGTGTGAGAAGTTGTAGAGGATGTCTGCTTCTCCCTCGTTGTCTGTGAATACAAAACGGGGATGCGTCAGGTTGTTGAGGACTTGCTGAATGTCAGTGAACACCCTAGGAGAAAGAAGCACATGAAAAAAAATGTCAGTTTAGCTTCTGAAACTGATCAACTCATGGTTGAATAGAAAAAAAAATTTAAAGTTTGACTTTCTATAAGAATTACATTTTTCCTGTATACACTCTGTGACAATCTCTTCTTGACACAGAAACAATTTAAATTGAAGTGGGATAGATTAAAAAATTGTGAGAGATTACCTAAAAACTATTATTTTGAGATAGAAATCTCAAAGGTAGTTTAGCTCTGACAGCTTCATAAAAAAACTGTTCAGAAGATGATGATTAAACCTGTGACATAGAAGCCTGTAAGAAGTAACATGAATTCACTGTTTTACATTAAAAGTCCAAAAGTGAGAGTGGCCTTGTGCATACCTTCACTCCTGAAAGAGCTCTAAAAATCAGTCTGCTGTCATCCGCATGAAAGAAAGTCATAGGAAATCTTGTCAGCTTAACTCTGTAGCTTCAGAAGATTATTTTTATTTGTTCACAACTTTAAATAAACCAAACATACGAAAGTAGGTATATGCTGAGAATATACAAAGCTTTGAGGCTTGATACAACTTCCCTCTGAACCCCATTTAAAATCACCCAACCCAAACCTGATAGACATTTCAGAATGTAACCAAGAACGAGGCAAGTTGTTGCATATCTTAGGAAATTTCCCTCTCATATAAAACTGGTCACTTGGATGCTAAAACAAGCAGATAGAAATAATGGTTATTTTGATGACTTTAGAGATTAAAGTGAGGCCACTTAATTCAGAACTCAGCATGTTGACTCAAAAGTCAAGACTGTTTTTTTATATCATTCTCCTGGTAAAGGAACATTTAAACAGAATAAAAAAACCCACTAATTTTTTCCATGAAAAACTATTGTATTCTTCCTCCTCTCCAGATCTGTTTTTATCAGCTGTGGAACTTTCCTCTCCTCCTTCCACAACTACACAAGTGGAAGATATATTCCCCTGAGACACTTCTCTAAAAAGATGAACTGCAGAAATAGCCCAGTCACAGGAGGAAATAAATTCTTTAAAAAGCCAAGTATGTAAGATGCTTTACATAGCTCCATGTGTGAGCTATTACAATAGTTATACTCTTTATGCTGAAGCCTGTAACTGAGAGAGACGATGTCACTGTGGATGAAGGGAATCGGCCTTTTGAAAGAAGCCACCAGTCTTTCCTCACTGCTGCAACAGAAAGAAATTACTATTTCCACAGAGTTCCTCTGGCATTTCTTTCTGCAATCTGTGGCTTTTTGGCTTCTCCTTTTAAGTCTGCACACTAGGGGAAAGTGTAATACCAGATCTTCTGTACTGGATCCACTACAAATTCTGCCAAACCCACAAGCTCTCCTAACATCCACTGGTTTGGAGCAACTGTTAGTCCTTGCTGGAGCAAAAGGAAATCAAAGTGGTGACCTGAAGCTAAAAGGCCAATTACACAATGCTGTAACAGTCCTGAAGCACTCAAAATCTGCACACAAATAGGCATGAAACACAAGTAGTACTAAAATTGAAGTTGTTCAGAAAATCCCAAATTGGTTCCTTACAAACACACCCTACAAGTGCAAAAATCCTGCAAAGACCCAGTGCCAGAGCACTCAGGATTGTATTTGAAGACTTGCTTAAAATTCAGAACAAAAGAAATAGGGGAGCTCAATCTAGTTTTGTTAAGTGCAGGAACATCACTGTAATAAAATGAGGGAGATTAATATTAGAGAGGAAATAAGGCCATTTCATTTGTTCTAAGGTGTCATGGGGTAACTTTACCTTTAAGATAGCTTTAGGAGCTAAAGAAGTTAAAGCTGCTGGTGGCTGATGGGAGTCTTTTCTCCTGACCAATTATTGGTCATTTCTAAGAATTGACAGCAGTTTTGACCATTAAAAAGTGAAACCAACTTGTGAACACCACCTTAAGGTGTAAAGCCAGAGTTCTCTTGCTGTCTTTGGTTTCTGGCTTCTGAAAAGGTAACAAGGCTCTGTCTCGGCCTCTTCCCCCCCCTCCAAGCCGGACCAGGCCGCAGAGGGTGGAGGAGCGGGGGGGGCGGGGAGAGAAACGGAGCTGGCCGGCTTGGCTTAGTTTGTAGTTTCTGCTGCTGGACTGAAACCCGACACCATGAACACTTGCAGCTTTTCTAAGACTTTAATTCTTTTACTACCTAGATAAAATGTACAGATTACTCCTTTTTCCCAGAGAGACAGAGAGAGAGAGACAATCAGCATGAAGAAGACATCATAAAATCATCAAAGACAGTGAAGAAAAGAGTTAAGTTTTAGACAGGGAAGAGAGAGTAAGAAGATGCTTTATAAGCTGAAATATTTTTCTGTTAAAGCTATGGAGATGGACAATAGTGTTCTGAAAAAAAATCCTTTAATTCATGACAGAGTATATTGGGAGGGATAGAGTGTTCAAAGTGTGGATTTTGAGCAAAAGGTAGAGTAATGGTGATACAGTGAGGTGCTGGAACAGTGAAGCAAAGATTTGTGGCCTTGAGGGGCAATGAGAAAACTGTTTCCAGAGAAGCTCACAGCGACAGATGAAGAGAATTTTTACCTTTGAATAACTCATCCTTAAAAACGACATCCCTAGACTCATTGACCCATACACACCTCAGAGTGATGTGAAATGAGAGGAGTGAACTGATGGCAGGATTTCCGGGCAGCTGGCATCAGAGAAATAGAAAACTATAACAGAAATAGTTTTCTTGTGAGAAACTCCATAGATTAGCAGAAAAAACCTTCTGTTTCTCTACAAAGGCTGATGAAAAGACTCTAGCAGGAATTGAGACTGTTTTAAACACCAAAGTTCCAAAGTTTTTTGTCTCTATGTTGTCATGTGAACAAGAGAATGGTGGGTAGTGGGGGATAAAAGGGTTTACTGAAAGTTTATTCTGGAGTTCTTATTCTTGTAGTTTTGTTAATAAACTTTCTTTATTCCTTTTAAGTTTTAAGCCTGTTTTGCTCTTGTTCTAATCCATATCTCACAGCAAAGAATAAGTAAGTTTTCTAGTAATTTTTTAGTTACTGCTTTAAGACCACAACATAAGGTAATACACTGATAATACCACAAAAAGATACCGAGAGGTAAGAAATGCACCAAGTCCCATTCTGGCTTTGGCAGGGGGCAGAACATCTACACTGCAATCCTGCAGTATCAGCCAAGCTATTTTGGACCTTTCAGTCCAGTATCAGTGACACACTGAACTAATGAAGCCAGCTAACCATTTTTTCCCCCCTTGTCTCACCAAAGCCCCAGTGAAGGGCTATGAAGTCTGGGATAAAAGATGACATTCAGTGAAATTATGCAAGTAAAATAAATATGTTTATATGTTACTTAATTTACTCAAAATATTTAAAGCTAAGAAGCAATTATGAGAATCAACTCCCACAGCACAGAGCTGTGACAAGACCAACCAAAACAAAGACTTGTCTCATAACAGCTCTTTGGACATTTCAAAGCAGTAACTGATGTAGCTGAAGAAAAACATGAAAGAGAAGATCAAAAGAAATAGAGATGATCATACCCAAAACAAACTGGAAAGACTTTCCCTAATAAATCCATCTTTGAAACATTTAGTTCTTTGATTCTTTTTTTCCATTCAGCAATCATCACAGCTGAATAGAACTAGGGCAGCCATTACTATGCTATAAGACCTAGTTAAACCTATAATTTTGCTGTATCAAACTACTTGTACTCACTTCCCTGCTTTTCAGGATTCAGGTTAAACATTTATTTAATCTTCCATTCTCTGTCTTAGCTCTGCTTGGATACAAGATGACTTTGTTCCAAGTTCTAAACTTTGCAACCTTGTGCCTTGAATTTCTCTTCAATCCCCTAAAACAGCAGCAATCCAAAAAGCAGAGCACAAGTATTATTAAGAGACTACAACCATCTATGCAGCTCCATGTGCTCCTACCTGTCTGCCCATGGTGGCACCCCTAAAACCTTTAAAGGAGCCCAAAAGCACTGGAAGGCTGCAGCTCACACTCAGTTATCTCCACTCTGAGATCCTGCTCTACTTGTGGAGGAACTTTAGTAGAAAAAATTCAGAGCATGAGAAGGATCTTACAGCCTTCTGTCCAGATATGAAGAGGATAAAGGAAAAGAGAAGGAAACCCTTAGGAGTACATTGATTGAGTGTGAATTAAATTTCTTAAAAGAAAAGCAGGAAGAATTTGAAGTGTTTCCCCCTCCTTTCTTGACTAATGTGAATGCCATTCATTTGAAATGTAAGATACAAACTAAAGAGATAAACAGAAAAATCTATCAGTGTTTTCCAACATCCTCAGTATTGCTTTCTGCCTCTGTCAGAATGCACCTGCCTTTGACTCCTGTGTCTGAGTACATCAGATGAAAAATATCAGCTTTTGCTTATCCTCATGGTCATGTAACCAAATGGAATCTTGACTGTAACTGGGCAAGTTAACAAATGCCTCTCCCCAAACAGTGACACTGATTTCCAGTAAGTTCTTCTCAAGTAAAGCTGATCTAGGGAGTAACAAACCAAAACAAGAAGCTGGTGTGTGAGTACACCTACCAAATACATTTTAGTGCAACTTTACCATTTAAGCAAAATGTTTCAAGCAAGAACTATGATCCCAGTGTCAGACTACAAGCACCCTGGAGTGCAACTCACAGAACATGCTAAGCAATGGCCTTTCTGGAATAAAACCAGTAACAAGGCAGCCTGGCCATGCAGCACCACTGTTTCTGCTCAAAAAATCCCTTATCTTTGCAATGCTCTTCCATCTTTCTTCTGAAATGGTTTCACAGCATACGGTCCACTTTTGTAGCAAACATATGTCCATTTTAAAACATTCCAGGTTTTTATAGGATTCCTGTTTGATAATGCCATCCAAAGAAGTGAACAGTCTGTTATATTCAAACAGCACAGAGCAACCCCTATGGACATACATGCTATAATGCAGAAGACAAGTCTTTAGTGTCTTTTCTACACCTTAAGTCATACTTAGTGAAAACAACACTGTGTAACTTAGCGTTAAAACATGATGCAACTTTTCCTTCACCCAGAAGGTGGCACTTAAAAAAAAACAACCAACCAACCAACCAAATGGAATTAATTTTTTAGAAATTCTGTAAGTGACAATTGGCTCACTCTGAAAAATAAATCTAACAGGAGCAACTAGTAAGTCACAATCTTAGGCAAGTAGCTCTATATAAACACACCTTTAACTTGCCTCTGTTCTTCAAAGGTGGAAGAGGCTATTTAGCCTGAACACACTGCAATTACTGCACATAATCCTGGTAAGTGGATACCTACTTGAAAACTTTGTCTTTGGCATAAACTGGTGGATTTATTGCTCCGGGAAGTTTTTCCTTGTTTTCTGTTAAAATTGCCTAGAAAACAGAAAATCACAAAAAGTTAATTCTAGGCAGAATGAAAGACTTCATTGCATGTCTTATTGGTCTGTTCTTTTTCATGCAAGTGAATTTCAGCAAAGTTCTATTTTGACAATTCTATTATGTTGTGTAATATGCTGTTCAGAAAAAAAATCTGTACAAGAACAGAGGCAGAAGGAAATCCTATCAGTAAAAAGGAACAAGAAATAAGGTTTTGAGGCCAGGGCACATCAACACTGTTGAGAGATCCTGAGAAACTCTTGCCTCCTAAACATTAAAAAAAAAAAAAAAAATCTCAAATCACAGCCAACCATATAAAATAGAAGACAAAGTTGCTGTATTTCCAACAAAATGGAAAACTGATCATTTACTTGTGACGCTTTGTTACAGATGACTAAAAAAATTATAGGAGGTTGGAACCCAGTTCTGCTCCTATGAAAACAAGCAAAATGTTTTTTGCAGTCTTCAGCAGTAACCATGCCTGCAAAGTCACTCTCCATCCTGTACAGCTCCCCTCTGACTGATAAAAGAAAATACACTCTTGGATCATTGCTGATGCCCTGCCAAAGGAAGCAGCTATCAGAAATTCTAGGATAGAAGTGTCGATGCAAAGTACACCTCTTCCAAAAATGCAAAATCCCAACCAATCAATCTGCCTTAGGTTACAAGACAGCCTAGCTATTATGAGTGTACAACTTTATTTAGCAGAAGGTTAACTTCATTTCTAACTAGATAATGTTAATAACAAGCTGGATAGAGCATTTTCTGCCTCTCAGCCATCATAAAGAAACAGATAGCTGAGGTACAGATTAATCTTTAGAAGCTGTACTTTGAATGCCATTATTGGCCAGTACAGCATCCTCATAGGTATCAAGTTTCCTCATTTTTCTAAGAGGTGAATCTTGTGCAGATATTGTTAATGAAAAGGAAATTTCAAACATTAATTTCACATCCTTAAAATATCCCAAACCTCTATTAGAAAGGAAACAAACTGAATGAATACTTTATAAGAGTGCCATCAAATTAAAAATGTCCCTTCTCCAATATTTAATGGCTCTAAACAACAACATGGCCCATTAGCCAGTCTGAAAAATGTAGCTTTTCCTAAAATTGTAAAACAAAACTTTCTGTAATTCAACACTGAACAGCAATGCTACAATAACAAATCCAATCAATAAGCCTATTAGACAATGCATCAAATATCTGACTGGAAGATGGATGCCTCAATATGAAGTACCTTGTAGTGTGCTTATAAAAAAAAACTATGCCATGCAGAGCAATAAAATAAATATTAGAACTCATTTATGTTGCTCCAGTATTTAAATACTTAGAAATCACATATAAATGTAAGACATTTCTTGTCTCATGGTGCTTTGAATTGTTTTTTTAGTTTAACGGCTGTCCTCTGAATCAGTCTTTAAGCTTAAAAAGAAGCAAAATCGGAATTCTTGCAATGCTTTTTTTAGACACTGCCTCTTCTTAACAGAGATAAGATACGGAATTAACTGGTTAAAATCATACCTGATAATGCTCATCTGGTGGTTCTGGAGTAAAGCAGCTGATATCCAACACTTCAGTAGGCACCCAGGGTAACAAAACACACTTCCTGATCAGGCGATCCGTCTCCCCGTAAGCGTAATCACGAGTGACTTCATCTGCAGCAAAACCAGGAGAGCCTTTAGGAACTGCCTTTCATTCCCACTGAAAATCTTCAAATAACAGCTGTACAGTCAATACCAGCACAAATCTTGTTATTTAAATAAAAAATTAGAGATAATTAAAGAAACGTGATAAAAAGAGTATTATTTAGGATGCTTATGTTCTCCACATGATGGAGGCACAGGGTGGCCCCTGGTCAAGATTACAGGAATAAATCATTGGACTGATGTTTCCCAACTTTCAGATCCCGACTTTCTGACACAAAACTACAAACACAGACTTTAAGGATTTTTTTTAAACCCTTCAGATGACTGAATTTGCAGTTTCACTAAGGCAGTGATGCAAGATTTAAGTTCTCTGTCAATAAAACAATAGCATTATTTTTTGACTGGTAAAATGTCTCTATCTTAAAATACAGAAATAACAGATAGAACTTTTATATTTGACAGTGTTATAAGAATACAGCTATTTTTGGTCTTGAAACATTTGTTCTACTGTGAAATGCTTAATGATTTTGTAACAACTGGCTCATTTTCTATTGCAAGCATTAAAGAAAACCCCAGCTCCTCAGACACACACTCACCACCAGTTTCAAGGTCTCTCAAAGGCCAGAGAACTGTGTAAGCAATTTGTTGAGGCATATAAAACAGAGGTGCTGCTGCAAAACTCGGCTGGTCTGAATGCTGAATGCGTGATCCAAATTCATCCATGATGTACCAGACAGGAACCTTCTCTTCTGCAGTCTGCATGAATAAACAGAGGGAGACATCTCGAACACTGGACTGCAGGAAAAGCTCTGTGAGACAGGCACTGGCAGCACCCCTACACCACTTCTCAGATTTCTGCTTTAACCTCCTCTTTCTTGTGCTATTGTTATTGCCTACCAGACCTGCTTTCCCTGAACCAAACCAGCTGCTTAAGAGAGCTAAGCCAGCAGAAGGCTGCTTGTTAGGACTAGTTTTCATTCAGTTTGTCTCAGAATCAATTAGCTGAAAAGTATTTGAAGTTTGAGAGTGAAGGAGAGCAAAACTGCAGCCTGCACTAACAGTAGCTACAAGTGCTGAGGCTGCATCATCAAAGCACTCCTTCCTGCAACACTCATCATGAAAACATCCTGAAACCTTAAACTGCTTGGTAGCACTACTTTGGTCTTTTTATGGAGGCAGGAATGGAGCAGAGAGATTAGACTTGAGGTATTTCCCAGAAAAGTGAACAGAAGATAAATTCAACCACAGGTTGAATTAACTGTCTTCTGGAAAATCACTTTTCAAGTAGTAACACAGATATCCATTTGACTCTCAAGCTATTCATAATAAATTGAGTAACAAAGAGATAGGGTAGAAAGACAGAGATACTGTTCTGATTTTCCCTTTCATTTACGGAAAAAGTCACAATGAATCTCCTCAGAGACTTTTCAGACCTGATTCTAGTGTGAGCTAAGTTTGAGCTTAATTGATAAAGATGACCAGTCCAGAGAACAATCTCAAGACCCTGAGCTAATAGGAGCAGTCTGACCATGCTCTCACTGCTCAGGGTTAGCCTTGCCCATTCTGCATAGGGCTGAGGCCAAAGAATTCAGATTTCTCCTCTTTAATTAGAAAGACTCAAAAAGACTTTGGAGCTCCACTGCAAACCCTACAACATGTTTTTCACCTGCACCCCAAGGGTTGTATTCCCTCAAAAATGGCACATGTGCATTTGAAAGTGTTTTAAAGGCTCAAGAAATGCTGGTACAGTGCTGAAGGACTACAGAGAGCAGGGTGACCAATCTGGTGTGGTCCTACCTACACACCCTAAAAGCAGCATTTCCTTTTCTTCCAAGTAGAAGGAATGCCTGTAAGGATCTTAGTTAATATTCATGTACTGGAACATCTTCACCCCAAAATTTTTAGCAACATTTAGTGTCTTACCCCTTGAGAGAGCTTGTAGGTCTGGTTGTATTTCCACATTTCCTGCACCACCTGCTCGATGCTGCTCTCGTCTGGGACCTCTCCATGGAAGGGGATGCCCATGAGGTTGGCCATCCTGTGCAGCAGGCCAGGCACAAGGCGCAGCTGCTGCCGGGCATGCTCCACGCGGTATGTCCAGGCGTGGTCGATGAGGAACACGCTGCAGGAGAGTTTGGGTGGTGTTACACCCTGGGGTTCTCACACACACACAGCTGCATGCTCTGAATAAAAGCTGCATTAGTGGGTGACTCCCTTCTGAGGGGAACAGAGGGCCCCATATGTCAACTGGATCCAGGGCACAGGGAGGTTTGCAGGGTACAGGACATCACTGAGAGACTTCCTGGGCTGATTCAGCTGTCTGATTATAACCACTGCTGATACATCAGGCTGGCAATGATGAACTCAAAAGGAGGAGTGTTAGGGCAATTAAAAGGGACTTTAGAGCACAGATAGTCTTTTCCTCAGTCCCTTTAATGGCGGAGAGAAATGGTGAAAGGAATAGGAAAACTCACATCATCAACAAATGGCTCAAGAGTTGGTGTCACCGGCAAAATTTTGGATTCTTTGTTCATGGGGCAACTTTTACGGTACCTGCCCTACTAGAACCAGATGGGCTCCATCTCTCTGTTAAGAGCAAAGGATTTTTAGCTCATGTTCTGGTGGACTTCATTGAGAGGGCTTTAAACTAGGTTTGAAGGGGGAAGGGGATGCAGCTGGACTCTCTGAAAGGAGGCCCAAGGGTGGTAAGCCTGAGTTAGGGGTGAGATCAGCAGCCCAGCTGAGGTGCATGTATACTAATGCACACAGCATGGGTACTGAACAAGAAGAGCTGGAAGCCATGGTGCAAGAGCAAAGGATGTAGTCCTTTGCACCACAACTCACATAGCTGGAGCGCTGCACTGAATGGCTACAAGCTCTTCAGAAGAGACAGGAAAGGGAGAAGAGATGGAGGGGTGGTCCTTTATATTAGGGAGGTTTTTAATGCCATGGGTATTGAATCTAATGACGATGAAGTTGAGTGCCTATGGATAAGAACTAAGGGAAAGGCCAACAAGGCTGACATCCTACTGGGAGTCTATCATCCACCCAACCAGGAATAAGAGGTGGACAACTTATTCAATAAGCAGTTGGAGAACGTCTCAGGATCACCAGCCCTTGCTCTTGTAGTCAACTTCAACCTGCCAAACATCTGCTGGGAACTTAACATAGTAGAAAAGAGGCAATCCAGGAAATTTTTGGAGTGCATGGAGGACAATTTTTTGTTGCAGCTGGTGGGTGAGCCCACCAGGGGAGGGACTATGTTAGATCTGTTGTTTGCAAGTAGAGATGGGCTGGTGGGCGACGTGGTGGTTGGATGCCGCTTGGGGCACAGTGATCATGAAATTATAAAATTCTTGATATTTAGTGAAATCAGGAGGAACAAAAATAAGACTTTTACACTGGACTTCTGGAGGGCAGACTTTGGCCTATTTAGGAGACTTATTCAGAGAGTTCCCTGGGAAGCAGCCCTTGAAAACAAAGGAGTGCAGACAAGGTAGACATGCTTCAAAAGAGAGATCTTGAGGGCACAGGAACAAACTGTCCCTGTATGCTTAAAGACATGTCGACAAGGTAAACGTCCAGCCTAGATGGGCAAGGAGGTTTTGCAGGAACTTAGGAAGAAAAAAAGGAAGTATCATCTTTGGAAGGAGGGTCAGGTCTCTCAGGAAATATTTAAGGGGGCTGTTAGAGCATGTAGGAAATTAGAGAGGCTGAAGCTCAGTTTGAACATAAAATGACAACTTCTGTAAAAGACAATAAAAAAAGTTTTTACAAATATATTAATGGCAAAATGAAGGGTAAGATGAACCTTTGTTCTTTATTGGATAAGGGAAGGAACTTAGTAACTGCAGGTGAGGAGTAGGCAGAAGTGCTTAATGCCTTCTTTGCCTCAGTCTTCAGTGGGAAAGCAATTTTTCCTAAGAACAACTGTCCTCCTGGGTTGGTAGATGGTGGCAAGGGGCAGAATGGTCCCCCTATTATCCAAGAGGAGGCTGTCAGAGAACTGTTGAGCTGCCTGGATGTTCATAAATCTATGGGACCAGATAATCCATCCCAGGGTGATGAGAGAGCTGCCAGATGAGCTTGCAAAGCCACTCTCTATCATTTACCACAATCCTGGCTCACTGGTGAGGTTCCACATGACTGGAAGCTGGACAATGTGACACCCATTCACAAAAGGGGTGGGATGGAGGATCCTGGTAATTATAGGCCAGTCAGCCTGACCTCAGTACCAGGTAAGGTAATACAGCAGCTTATACTGAGTGTCATCATGCAGCACTTACAGGACGGCCAGGGGAATGAGACCCAGCCAGCACAGCTTTAGGAGAGGTAGGTCGTGTTTGACCAACCTGGTCTCCTTTTAGAGACCTCTCAGACCAGGTGACTGCCTGGTGGATGCTGGAAAGGCTGTGGATGTTGTCTAGTTGGCCTGCAGCAAGGCCTCTGACACTATCTCCCACAGCATACTCCTGGAAAAGCTGGCAGGCCTTGGCTTGGACAGGAGCACTCTGCTCGGTTAAGAACTGGCTGGATGGTCATGCCCAGAGAGTGGTGGTGAATGGTGCTGCATCCAGCTGGCAGCCAGTCACCAGTGGTGTCCCTCAGGGGTCTGTGCTGGAGCCAGTCCTGTTCAGTGTTTTTATTGATGACATGGATGAGGGTATTGAGACTTTCAATAGTAAATTTGCAGATGACACTAAGCTGGGAGTGTGTGTTGATCTGTTGGAAGGTAGGATGGCTCTGCAGGGAGACCTGGAACATTCAGATGACTGAGCAAAGTCCAATGGGATGAAGTTTAATAAGTCCAAGTGCCAAGTCCTGCATTTTGGCCACAATAACTCCCTGCAGTGCTACAGGCTGGGGACAGTGTGGCTGGACAGTGCCCAGGCAGAAAGGGACCTGGCGGTACTGGTGACAGCCAGCCGACCATGAGCCAGCAGTGTGCCCTGGTGGCCAAGAAGGCCAATGGCTCCTGGCTTGGATCAGGAGTAGCATGGCCAGCAGGAGCAGGGAGGTCCTTCTTCCCCTGTACTTGGCACCGGTGAGGCCGCTCCATGAGTGCTGTGTCCAGTTCTGGCCTCTCAGTTCAGGAAGGATGTTGAGACGCTTGAGCGCATCCAGAGGAGGCAACGAGGCTGGTGAGGGGCTGGGAACACAAACCCTGTGAGGAATGGCTGAGGGAGCTGGGATTGTTTAGCCTGGAGAAAAGGAGACTCGGAGGTGACCTTATCACTCTCTACAACTTCCTGAAAGGAGGTTGCAGTCAGGTGGGGGTGGGTCTCTTTCACCAGGCAGCAACTGACAGAGAGGACACAGTCTTAAGATGGGCCAAGGAAAATTTAGGTTGGACATGAGGAAAAAGTTCTTCATAGAAAGAGTGATAAAATACTGGAATGGTCTGCCTGGGGCGGTGGTGGAGTCACCATCCCTGGATGTGTTTAAAAAAAGACTGGATATGGCACTTGGTGTCATGGTTTAGTTGAGGTATGGTTTGGACTCGATGATCTTGAAGGTCTCTTCCAACCTAGTCATACTGTGATTTCCCTGGAGACAGTGTGATAGCTAATCTGCTCTTAGTCACAAAGTCACTCCCCGAGCACACACAGCAGCACTGCAGGGTAGGAGCAACTTTCCAGAAGTAATATACACTCTGATTTTGCTCTAGAAAGCTTATGGTGCATAGTGAGCATTTCCATGAAAATGAGGAGCAAATAAAGAACAGGCACTCAGCTTGTGAACTTATTCCCTTTAAAAACCAAGAACACAAATGTCTTCCCTTTTGATCACTATTAACTCTACTACATCAACCTGATATTCTTGCCTGAAACAGAAAAACTATTTTGAAAAATATACACCATTTTGAAAAATTACTTGAGGACCTTGTTAGTCATGAGGTCTGTGACATCTACTGTCATCTGCAAAACCAGGTGGAGAAGTCTGATCATCAGAAGCCTGTATATGCTATTGAAAGAAAATAAGCAATAATTTTTGATTGTTTCTATTCGGTTTTTTTTCTTCTTTTTTTGGTAGGGGTGGGGTGTGTCACCAAGCTATTTTTAGAAAAAAAATGCATTGTTTGGAAAATTACAATCTAAACCAAAATAAAACCATACATATCTGGTGCAACTTCCCTTGACAAGTTTAACCCTTGTTTAGGCCGCATGACTTTTAGAAGAAAACCGCAGTTTTTCAAACAGAGGGGTTCCACATATTTTGATTATATCATCTGACTGAACCAATACAGAGAAAAATCTGAATTCTACTTGCTAGAAAAATGCCCAAATCATACAAAAAAAAACCCCCACACCACCCGTATTTCAGAAAGTTAAAAACATGTCAGCTGTCACATAGGGCAAGTATGGTTGAACAATCATTGTATCCCAGATTCCACACACATTAAACCTCACTTAATTTTAAAATTAAAGGCTCCAGAGAATGCTAAGGTCAAGCTCTTTGAAAATGTTAGCAAACAGGTGTGTTGGTGTTCTGCTCCCATATTCACACACCTGAATGTTGCAAGGAAGCCCAAGATTATCACAGGAGCTGGTTTTGAACTTGATAATTTAAGTGCATTCTCAGATTTAGAAAGATGATTACTTAGGTTAAGGCAGGGATGTAAAGGCACATACCTATGATTCTTTGTCGATTTTACTCAACAGGCCTAATTTAAATGTTTAGATTTTGCATATTTACCTAATATCTAAAAAGTATGAAAGGTCTCACAGAAGTTTTATGGAACTGAGCAGAACTGCATTTAGATCTTCTGCAGAGGCATCTCACTGCTTTTCATTAATGCATGACAAATACCCTGTTCTATGTTTGAAACCAGTAAGAACACAAGAAGCAGTACTATAGTGTAAAGTTTTCTTACACAACTTTATTCTAGTTTTAGATGCCTCCTAGTCTTGTATTCATGACAGATAAGCTGATTTGTAAGCAAGAGAACAGTAATTTGATACATTCAATTCTACATGCATGCACATGACCACGCTCTTGAATTATACTTTAGCTGCCTGAAGGAAATGTAATAGCCCACAGAATATTACTGTGAGTACCTTCTTGGCATGAGATTTGTGGTGATTACAAGTATTTAGTTGTTTTTTCCACAGGCACACAGTCTTGAAGATACAAAGGTTTGCTTTATTTCTGCAGAAATCATTTCAAGGTTGCCTTTTCCCTATTTTCTCCCTGAGTTTACCAAAACAAATTTCTGAGTATCTTCCTACATGATTTAAAAATGACATTAAGATATTTGCACTCCCAGTACCCTTTGCTTCATAGCATGCATCTTCCTTCAAATATGCAGCTATGTCTTAGAGTTGGAAAAGAGGATTTCTGAAGAGAATCAAACAAGTCTCGAAGTAAACTATCATCATTTTAGGGTTTCACACTACTCAAAGACTGAACACTATTTTCAAAATCACAACTCACCTATCAGGATTGGAGGCTTGAAGTCCATTCTCATTAGTTACAATAACTTTGAAACAAGGCGCATTTCCAGGATTTGGTTTCTTTTTAAACTGTTCTTCCATTTCTTCATCAACTTCTTCCTCCTCATCCACCTCTTCTACTTGCATTATTCCAAAGTAATCACCAGCATCAAATACCTGAGATGGGAAGTGCATAAAATATCATGCAACTGGATAAGGCAGTACCCTGACACGCACAATGCAACACCTGCAGACATTTCTTCCCTGTAACCTGATAAAAAATGGCATTTTTGACTTAAGATATGAATGAACAACAGTATTTATTCTTTCACATTTTAACACAGCTGTTTGTTTGGGAAGTTTCTTTAGTTAATATTGGCAGGAAGCTTTGTTGGTTTCTTTGGCACCAACAGGTCTACTGATGATTGCCTATCAGTTTAATGCCTCATTAAGAATTTTAGAGGCTGAAAACAGAATACCTTTGTTCAACCTTTGCTAAATTAAGTAATTTAAGATCTGCAAAACTGAGGCTCCACAACTGTACTAAAGTACACTAAGGTCCCTGAAGAAAAAGAGCTTTTCCCAACTGAGTTCTGAACCAGCTAAGAAATCTCAGAAATCTCTCTCTTCTTTCCCTGTGAAAGAAACTGTCAACGCTCACTCCCCTCCAGGTAAATTGGGAGATTCCTTATGCTGCTATATATGAAGATAAGTTTTATACACTGACTTATATAAGTTTTATAAGTGTATACACTAAGGTGCTGAAAGGGGTTTGTTTACATTCTTGCCTACTCTGGGTTCACTACATCTAGAATATATAGAAGTGAGGACAGTCACCACTCAAGGCTCCCTTGCCAAACAGTGGGCTTGCCTTTCTGGCAGAACCAAGACCCTGCTGACAACTTTCATAGTTTCAAAATGAACATATGCTTTTAGGAAGACAAAAATAGGTAAAGCCTCAAAAGACAGCTGAAATTTTTCAGAGAGAATTATTTTGCTAGAATCACTCACACACTACCTAATAAACCAGGCATGGGCAGACAAATCCTTTGCCTCAATCTGACTAAAAAGTAGCAGGGAGGGAGAAAGGTCTAAAGTGTGAACTCCAGAGTTACTGGTTCAATACTCCAAATCTGCAATAGTTCAACAAATAGCCTGCAATGCTACATTAAAAATGATTAAAAATCATTACTTCCGTAAATTGACAACTTCTTGGCTGTAAAATGCCAGTGGCAGCAACAAGTTTTCATTTGTTCAGGTGAGTGTTTCTATAGGACAATTATTTTTGCTAAGTGTCAGCAGGAGGGTGAGGAAATCAACTCCATATTTGTGAAGAAAGGACAGCTAGAAAAAGCAGACAGCTGCTCAAAGAGGGAGGAAGTCAGCAGGGGAACAACAGTTACTTCTCATCTTAAGCCACAGTTCATAAAGCAGATACAAGTGGAGAAGTATCTGAAATTCCCTTCTGAGGAACATGGGATGGTATTTTCCTCTGGAATGGTGGAAGGCAAGGGGAGGGGGCCATGGTGGATAAAAAAATCATAGAATGTCTTTGGTTAGAAGTGTCCTTAAAAGATCATCTCAGTTCCATCCCTGCTGCCATGGTCAGGGATGCCTTCCAGATGCTAACAATAGCTAACAGCTATTAGCTGTTATTAGCTAACAGCTTCTTAGCACACAGCTTCTTAGCTAAATGCTAAGGGGATGCTAACAGTATGTTGGCTAATACATACATACGCATTTTTTTAGGGTAAAGAAAATTACTCTGCAAACAAACTTTCAGGAGATTAAAACACACCTATTTAAAAAAAATAAAAATCAGGAACTTAGTTTCTTTCACTTCAGCAGGTATCAAAATAGCAGTTCCACCTTACTTCTAGTTTTCCAGCTGCTAGAAGAGGACAATATTACTCAGTATTAAGCAGTATCATAACTTCTTGTTGTTCTAATAGTAGTCTCTAATGATTTTTTAAGTCTGCACAGTTGCCTTGAAAATTTGTAGTCATTGAAATTCACGTAGCTGCAGGCAGATCCCAGCAAAAGAAGAGCCCCTCCCTGTGCTCACAATTAATTTTTGTCAGGTTGGCTCCCAGCTGGGTAAGCTCCCTGGACTGGCTCAGGGCACAAATGCTAACTCCAGCCCATGGCAGCCAGCAAATGCAGCGTGCCAGGAAACATGTTCCACTCTTCCCTGAAGTGACACTTGACTGTGCCTGCTGCTGGATCAAGGGCCATCCTCAACAACCTCATTAGCTAACAAAGAAGTGACAGACAAGTGACTGGGAGCTATTAGAAAATGAGAAGTACAAGTGTAATGCAGAGGAGCCACTTGACATGTGCTGCAGTGTGGCACTATGTTTTCCACACTTAGCTTTTATCTTAAAGAGTTTGTGAGAGGGATACAAGGTGAACCAGTGGCTGACTCAGATGCCTTTGCTCACGACAGGCTCCATCCGTTTATCAAACACCCACAATGAATACCAAGTTCTTCCACAACACGAAAGGGAAGCTATTTGGTTTATATTTTATTTTTTAAAATTAAATATAATCTCAAGACTTCAAAAAATGAAGGGATTCCAAATGCCCTAAGGCAAAGTTTTGGTCTCTCCTTCTGACAAATCACCAGATGCATGAGACTGCAGCAGTTGTATTTAGCAAAAAATCTCCACTTTTAATACCTTTACAGAATTATGCTTAACACAAAATTTCTCCCAGAGAATTTATAACCTTATAAAAGTGAATTATGTGTATTCCTCATTCAAAGCAAATCATGCTTGTCGCAGCAGCAGCTCAAGACCACCTTAAAAATCACGCTTTTTGTGGTTTTGTTGTTCTTTAAACTCATAATTGATAATACAAGCAGTTCAGTACTTCACTGATGGATTTGGCAGAAGCACCTCATTGTCAGTGTGGATACACAGATAGTTTTGTGTCTCCCCTCTTCCTCCCTCCCTTTGAGCCAGGCTGTAACACTGAACCTATTAACTCAGCAGAACCATTAAGGGAATCTTAAGTAAGCTCCTTAAGCAAAAACCAGCTGGATAAGATCACACCACCAATCTGAGAAGTAATCTTTGGCTTGAAGCAGAACAGGGAGAGCTCACATTAAGTATTCCATCAGAGCAACCAATAACCTCTAGACAGCAAAAGGGTACCAACACATTCCAGCAGCACTACTTCTTGCAAGCAAAACATGTTTGGGCAAAATCCCTCCCTCTCCATGTTCAGGTGCAGTTCCAAAGTAACCAACTGCAGAAAATGAGAATTTGATACCAAAGCAGGTACATGTTATGACAATTACACACAGGCATCTCCAGAAAATTCTTTTAAGGCACACTGCAAACTGCTTTGAAGGCCACAGGTAACCTCTGAGCAACAGGCTGCCCTCCACTGCTCAAAAAAATAAATTCTAGGAGTATCATCATGCTGCATTCCTTCTAAGTTTTTTCTTAATTTTTTCTTAATTAATTAACAGCCTCCATTTCTAACTGGGAAGAAACTCTAAGCAGTCTTTTGCCAGCAACATCTGAGGGCTAAAAAAATCTTCCTGCAATACAGAGAAGCCTGCAAAATAACTTAGTGTATGGCTGGAATAGAAAAAAAAACCATTATTAATAAAATTAGATACAGGCATTAATACTATATATACAGTTTATCCAGTAGCATAAGAAACAACCACTACACTAGAAATAAAATTATAGTGAATGATTACACATGCATGTATTTTATTTTTCAAATTTTTGCCAGAAACACCAAAAAAATTTCCTCTCAACAGAAGCTTGAATGCTTCTGTTGAGAGGAAGCATTGAGAAGCATTCTGTTGAGAAGAATGCCAAATGCAAAATGAATAAATAAAGGCAGGTTTACCAATCTAGCAGTTATGCCATGTTTTGAATGAGCAATCTAATTACACAATGCTCTCAAAAAGAAACCTGCTCCAGCAGATCCCAAGGTAAATTAAAAAAAGAAACCCAAGCCCTCCACTTCTCACAGCCTTCAGTGTACACAGTGGAGGGAGGGTGCATTCACTCTGTATGTTGAAACATGTGTGAGAGTGTTGGAAAACAGCTGTTTGGGCTGGGTTCTAGAGGTATTAATGCAAGAGATATTTTATCTGTATTGCAGATGCAAATTTTTCAAGTTCTATGCTAGATAGTTTTAATCTTTGCAGCAGATTAGGATAATTGAAAAATTCCTCTATTTTACATATATAACAAGGAAACTCATCCTACACTCTATGTTTTACTGGGTTTTTGTCCCCAGAGTTATACTTTATTACCTAGATTCCCAAAACCATTTCACCCCTTCCCCTCACCTCCTTTTCTTTCTTTACTGCTGCTCCTCCAGCCTGGACCATTCTGAGTGGTCCAGTTCTAAGCAAGGTCCCGTAGCTTGGTCTCTACCTCCTCAAGAGGTTATCACAGTCCACAGCACTCCTCACAGTAACTTTTCCTGGACATCCCAATCTTCTCAATATCCTTTTGTCCTCCTTCTGGACAAAACCCAGAAGCTGCAGGAGTAGAGACAAGCACTCTCAGCAGCTTGCTTCATCTTCCAAACCTCACTGAAATAATTAAGTCTCTTTCCACACACACTGGGACATCTACTACAGAACAGCATGCTCAGCCACCACTGTAAGTAAAATGATGCAGCAGGAGCAGCCTGCTGCCTTAGGGCATGTGCTTTCTTCCTTCTGCCTTTCATCATCCCAGACTCCATAAAAACATCAGCACCACGGGTCTCTTCTCAGTCTACTGTCTTACCTTCTCAATGTGACACTCTCCCAGCAAAGCTGGTAACAAGCAAGGATTTCAGCCACAGGTCACAAATCTCAAGCTTGCATTAGGTCACAGCATAGATTCAGTTTGCTACCTCCAGCATCATACTGGCAAGTGGAAACACAGCAACTCTCAACTTTGGGTTTCCTTGGCAGCTTTATACTGCCTTCTGTTCCATCCTCTTCCAGGACGTCCCTTCTCATATCCTCCTACCTAAGCAGAGCAGCAGATATTCCTGCTCCAAGTCCCTTGCATGAATACTTACTGGGGGAATGTAATTCCACAAGGAGCTTTTGACTGGGAATATGCTTGAAATAATGTAGATTTATCTTCTCTGTAATAAACACGTATTCCTGTTATTAACAGTACCACGAAACAGCCTGAAAGCAGCAGGAACATATTCAGACCCTTCCTGACTACAAGCACTCATATCATGACTTGCAATGCTTTTCTCCTGTCCCTACTTTGAAAATGAGATGGGGAAAAGAAGCACTCAGGTAACTGGAAATTACTTTACCAGTACATGGTGTTAAACTGCAGTTCCCTCACCTTCCCTACTGTCCGATACTATTGTACAAACTTCTCACCCCATCTCACTCTTTTCTTCAGTGCTTATCCTGCCTTCCAGCAAACTACCACTTCTCCCCTTATCAGAGCTCTTTCTCTCCCCAGAACTAGAAGTTCACCTAATTCATATTTTCTTCTCCAGGTCGACTCCTCCAGACTCCCTTGAGCACTCTCAACTCTACAGATGAATGGTTTTGGGTTGCCTCTCTTTCCTGCCTCAGTTCCTTGTTCCTTTACCCCCACAAATCAAAGACAGCCTACCCCATCCCCGAGGCTAGGCTGCAGATGTGCAAACCACATTGAAACAAAAAAAATCTAAATACGACCCGTGCCTTTACTATCTGTTTAAAATCATTCCTTTTCTTGACTTTGTCTCTCTTCCCTTTCCCATCACAAAGCTCCAGGAAGCAAGCAGATGGTTGCTATAAAGGTGAAAAGGGATACTTCATCCTGGAAGTGTGCCTGTGCCTCCACACTTCCTTTACTTCAGGGCCAGGGGTCAGCTTCACCCGAAAATAACTGCCCAAGTGAGGTAACTCACGCATACATGAGATGAGCTGCCCAAGCTTTGCACAGTTATAAATGACTGAGGGCAGGGCAGATCTGTGTGGAAGTGAACTGGAAAAAAAAAAAATTAAAAATCAGGCAAAAGTCAATCCAAGATGGATTAGGATATGACAACATTCTGGGTCTAACACTACTACCGTTGCTGTTTTTTCTTAATTCTCGTTGGCATAAAAAGCTGAAGGGTTGAGGACACTGTCTTGCATTTGGCTGGGACCGAGTTAATTTTTTTTCTTAGTAGCTGTTAAGAGTGCTGTGGTTTTTTAGATTCATCACGTCTCTTCAGTACTGCATCTCTAGTTACCAGGATTTCCAAACGCTTCCAAACCTCACGACAACAAAAAGACGAAATCAGATACGCACAATACACCTGACGTCTTTCACAGCCCCGAGCTGCAGTCTCGGTAACACAACCCGCACCGCGCCTTTCCCACTGTCCCCTGCTTAACAACACCGTGATTCTTTTCTTCACCCAGGGGTGGAGGGGCTGCCCTCAGCACCGCTTTTCCACGGCCACGTCCCACGGCCTCCGCTCGTCCTCTGCTCAGGGCTGCCCTCCGGGACTGCTCCCTCAGCGTTGCTCTCCCATGCGGAGCTACCCCCAGCGTCGCTCACTCACCTCTCCCCGCAGTTTGCGGCTCAGGCTCTCCCAGTATTGCGTGGGGACCTGCGATGCGCGGAGCGCGGCTCCGTGAAGGGCCACGAAAGCCGCCAGAGCCTCCTCGCCGTCTCCCGCCATGGCTGGGCCGGAACAGGCCGGGCGGGGCCCGAGGCGGGCGGGGAGGCGGGAGCGGCGCTCGGGGCGTTCCCGCAGCCCGGATAGGGGCTAGGCCCTGGAACGGGCGAGGGCCGGGGGCATCGGAAGCGCAGGGCCACTGTCAGGCGCCGCTGAGGAGATGGGGTCTGAGTAGGCTTCAGTCTGCTGAGCAGATGGGGGTTCTGCTTTTGTTCTTCTCTTGCCCTTGAGCTTTAATAAAATTCAGAGCATTCGTGGTGCAGTGCTGGCCGAAAGATGTATTTTGTTTTCCCGATGTTTCAGGGACCCTTCTGGAAGGCCCCCGCCATAGCCCCTGAAGTGGGTTACGGGTGGGGTGTGAGGCATGGCAGGCACTGAGTGCCGGCCGTAGCAGTGGGAATTGCATTAAATGGTCCTCAGGAAAAACAGAAAGTGTCAGTCATTTATTAAAGTTTGGGGATTTTTTAATTTTGAACGTTGACAAGTGAATTTTAACATGTAGGCCCGTCTTAAATATCTGTCAGTACAAGAGGGAGCTGTGTTTTTTGCCAGTGCCTGTAGCGGAGTGCTGGCTTCCCAGTTCTTTCCTTGTATGGTTTAGAAGAGATTTCTAAGAAAATCTCTTCCAAGATTTTGTGGGGAATAAGCTGATGCTTTTTAAACATTACTGGTAGTTTTGGTCTCACCTCAGGTATGGTTATAAAGCCCAAGAGCAAAGGCAGGTGTCTGACACTGCTCAGAGCACAGGTCAGGGCTTTGCTGTGCCTGCTGCTGCTGGGAGAACCCACATTGCTCCCTCTGTGGATTATTTCCTCCACAGACTGGAAATTCCTTTTCCTGGCAGCGCAACCTCAAGTCAAGGATTCAACTTCAGTGCTGCTTGGGCTGGCAGCACAGTACTGTGCTGGGAGGGGCATCCTGGACAGCCCTGGAAATAGTCAAGTTCAAGAAACAGGATTTTAGGATCTAGTTGCTGGTCAAGCAAGCTTCACATTCACAGACTACAGTCAGTAGAGAATGTGCCATGTTGAAGAAATACCTCTTTGCTCTCTGCCCTGTCTAGTGTGGCTGGGCTCTGTAACTACCCAAGAGTAGCAACAATCCCTTTCTCCACATAATCACAGAATTATTCAGGAGGAAGGTCTATAAATTAAAGGGCTACAATAGGTTGACTGGGCAGAGAATGAGTAGAAAGAGATTATAAATGGTGCCTACATGCTATAATTATACATCACCACTCAGCAGCTGAGGATCTAACTCAAATCTCCAGGTTGGATATCTGAATAATAAATGCAGGCAAATTCTCCTCTTTACCTGAGACTGTGTCTACCTCACCGTGTGCCATGTTCCCACATTTCCTCAGCAAAAAGGCTCCACTAGGATGTCTCTAAGGAGACTTCCCTGATTAAACAGCAGAAGATCAAAAAATAGTAGGATTTCCAATGTTCCTTGACTGTGTTTCCACCCTGCTACCCTGAGTTTGAGCACATTTTTTGCTAATATTGCGGTTTGGGAAAAGAGGATGGCTGTGGTGTTGATCTTGCCCTAGTACTGTAAAATGTGGAGATTTGACCATTTACTAGTAGTCCTTCTGGGGACCTTGCTTACTGAAAAGGCCACCCTTCCCTCACTTCTGTCTTTGTCATGTTATGTAGTTAAAAAAAAAAAAAATCAATATTTTTTTCTTAAACAGACCAAGGAGGAAAGGTTTGGGGTGTCTTCATGTCTTTGTTCAGTAGTGCCACAGTGATCATGCCCGGACCAGAGGCAAGGGGAATGTGATCCTGTTTGAACATGAGATTCATATAATTATTTTTCTCACCAAGTGTAGGCAGCTGCCTTCTCACTGCTTGTTTGCACTTCCATCTCACTTTGGATGGGAGCTGTGGTTGCTGGCTGGCTGGCTGTGGTTCCAGGATGTTTGGGTGAGTTTGCAGGTCAGGGGGCTGCTGCTGCTAAACTCCAAGTAATAAATAAGACAGTGAGAATCACTGATGTTAAGAGTACACTGTAATTTGGCTCTTTTCCAACTTTGTCCAGCACTTACCCAAATGTGGTCTTGCTCAGCTGCTGTGCTTGGCAGCTTGTTTTTCTTTTTTGCTTGTTTTCCACAACAGGAGTAATTCCTGGAGCAGGGAGTGGGAACCAACATTCTTCACCATTCTTCACCCTGAGCTCCTGAATGCACCCTGAGGCTTTCAGGAGCAGTCCTTCCTACTCTGATGGATGCCAGAGCCATAGCCCAGAGGTACCACTGCCAGCTTCGCATGAAAGGCGGTGTTTGTGGATAATCTTTGTAAGGAAAACTCAACACAGTATTTTATTCTGATTGTTTCCTTAGGAAGAGTTGCTGATTTACAGTGCCTGAACAGCGCAGCCCTTACTCAGGCAATGTGCTAGTTAAATTTTATGGGTTATTTTATATACATATTCATAGAGAATGCAAAAAGATCTCAGCAAGGCTGAGCCTACTAGCACTACCCCAGTCTAAAAGAAGAGGATTTAGCCTTCTGTCACTATCCATAGTAAGCCAACCCAAAGAACCCTTGAGCCTCTCTGTCACAGCAGACCCCATGACTTTACCACATTTAGTTCCCACCCTGCAGCAGTCTGCAGCAGAAGTTTATCATGAGTTAGCATATGTGAAGTAGCATTTGTCCCCAACAAACACAGCGAGAGTTTTAAAAAGCTTTGTGAGTCTGGCAGTTTGTCACTTTATTCCAAATGTTTATGGCTATCTCATCCAAATAGATCATATTCCTGTTGTTTAATGTTAGAACCTTCCTCTTGGTCAACATGGCATGGAAACCTCCTTAAGAGAGGTAAGGATATAAGGGACAGAAGAGACCTTAACATCATAGAGAAAAGGAGATGAAGTGATATATTTTTGGTGCACTTCAAAATAAAGCCTCTAATATGTTTTAAAATAAACCATTTACTTTCAAGTCAACAGCTTTCTCAATGGTAAAACTAGAATTTCAGAGCATGCAAAGCTGTCATAGGGGCTTAGATGAGAGGAACATAATTTGCTGTAAATACTTTATCATAGCTGTATAGCTATGATAAAAGTCAGAGAGGTTTGCAAGAAGGCTGTTGTAAGAAGTGAAAATTCAGTATTCTTCTGCATAAAAAACCCAGTTATTGTTACAGTTTTTAGTTATACTATAGTTACAGATGTTGACTGCTTTGTGGACAGGTACAACTTTTGGGAAGGTTTTGCAACACCCACCTGCCAGCTGGAGTCTGTATGAGGTCTGTCCCCTACCTTGGCTACCGTGTGACAGTGGCGCTGTGTAGGAAAACATTTTAACAGAGCAAGGGCATGATATTTTAGTCAAAGCCTGTCTGCACAACCGAGCTTTCAACCCAGATGACAATTCCAAAGATAGTGTCCTTGGAACTTTCCTGGAACAGTGAGAATGAAGAAAAACAATGATGTTGTGTACAAGAAAAGGAATGATAAACAAAATGTATTAGCCAGTTGTCGCTCTATTAGGAACGGCGAAAAGAACAACACAGACTTTCTCATGGAGTCAAACTGGAGAATTCTCTCCCGGTTTATTACCTCAGGTCTTTTTTTATAGACCAATACGTGAAAAGTACAGACAAGAAAACTCTTATTGGTTAGTAAACTAACACATCACCATCATTGGTCAGTGGGGTTCACCACCCCTTGACTTTCTCTTGCAGGAAAACAAGGAACTGACAAACAGCACCTGCAAGGCTGCTTTCTATCTCTGAGGATTGTTTTAATTCCTCCCCATGATTTCCAGGCCACTTTCTCAGGCAAGACTGAGAAAGCTATGTGGCCTGCTATTTCACAGGCACTATGCTGCCTGATTCAGAGTTAGCATCCATAGCCAATAGTAGCTTGTTAAGCTGCACGAACCCTGTAGGACCCTATAAGAGCGTGCTAAAGATAGAAATAAAGCAAAGTTCACTTTTACCTCCATGAGGACTCAGTGAATATTCTAAGCAGTTTTCCATTACCTGGCGCTCTGAACAGGGACCCTCTGTGGGCAAAGGGTACCAGCTTGGCAAGTTTGCGCAGTGGTTGAACATGGAAAGCGGATCGGGGCCGAGGGAGTGGATTTGTGCAGTGGTTGGACATGGAAGTGGATTGGAGCTGGGTGGTGGGTTTGTGCAGCGATTGGACGTGGAATTGTGAACCTAAGCTGGGGAAAACCGGGGACAGAGGAGTCTGAGACGAAGTTCGAGGGCAAGTAAGCGTCGGCACTCAGGGAGGAGGAGTCGCAAATCTCCCCCCGTCCAGGGCTGCTAGCATGATATTGAATTTGCGGCAGCACAAAAACTGCTTCAAAATATACTTGTTAAACGAGGGGAAGCAGTAACGGATAAGGACCTAGAAAGGCTTGTTGTATGGGCTAGAGAAAACAGGCATTTGAAAGTGCCTCCACTGCTTTTTGCAGTGGAAGAATGGAGAGAAATAGGAGACCAGCTGTGGGAGAAAATGATTATGGGGAAAAGCAAGGACACTGTCTTACAGCCTGACTTGGCAGATTGTAATTAATACCTTAAAAGACATGAAAGCGAAATCTACCCAGGCTGCAAGCCCTGTAATTCTACATGCAGCAGCAGTCCCACTGCCCACTGCTGGGTGAACATTCTTGACAATGATGCCCTTGGAGAGAGGTGGGGAGAGTCAGAGAGAAGAGAATAAGGAGATGTCCAATGTTTTTAAATCGATTGTGGACATACAGGGGCAAGATATTAACTCTATCTTTGAAGAGAAGCCAAATTTAGATTAGTATCCACCCGACCCAGGGGGACGTGAGGGGAGCATTGGAGCATGCGCAGAGAACAGAGACACTCCCATGGCAGAGCCGCTGCAGAAGAAGCTTCAAGGCCATGCTGGACAAATATCAGCAATTACAGAGTCAAGAAATTGCTAACTATATTGTATCTAGTTTGAAATTCATTACTGTAATTAAAGGCTGATAAGTTGCAATGGTTACTGCTGCTACCACCTGGCTCTGAGAAGCTCTTCGCTTAACATCGTTTGTTTTTATA